GCTTGGTGAAGAGCTGCCTCATTCACCAAATACTGTTCACCCAGGTTGCTATTGGACAGAAGCAAACTATGGTAAAAATAGCAAGCAGTAATTTGAGTATGAGGTAACTCTGTTAATGATTACTTCGTAAGGCATGTATACAATGAAGACAAACAAAGACAGGTTAAGTTCAACAACCACAAGAACAACTAGGCTGCTAGCTGAAAAGTACTTGGCTTTGCTAGTCTAATAATGCTTAAATATGTAGAATTAGACTGCATATAATATAAACTTTAAACCTAACATGATTGCTGCTTTGCACAGTATCTTGCAGAATTACCTGTCTATTAGACCTGTCTATTACCTGTCTATTAGACGCTTTGTACCAACTTCAGTTTAATCTACTGAAAACCAGATTTCTTCTCAATATGTATTCAGTTAAGAATCATGCCAGAAGATTTACACCAAAGAGGGGTGGGGAGGAGTGGGAAAGAAAAAAATATTTTTATATATATTTCTGAAATGTGAAGAAGTTATTTTCTGGGAAGGAAAACAGCAAGGGTAGATTTGGATTCAGTAGGGAAACTGATATGAATGAAGAGTGGCAGTTGATAACAAGCCTAGAATACATCCTTTTCCTCCCTTGTAACATTTCTGACTGCCAGCACTACTTCCTTACAAAGTATATGTTCCTAAATGCATATTGGCTCTGCTACAGTTATAAGTCGCTCTAAATTTCTCATACGCTATTTTATAGATGTTTCAGTGTTCAGGCGTAAGAGAAGACCCTTTAACTTAGGAATACACACACACACACACACACAAAAAAAAAAAGCTTCTTGGCTTAGACAAAAGGCTCAAAAACTAGTGAGATTGAGGACTTGGTCAGATACATGAATTACTGAAAGTATGGAAGAGAATGGGCATGTTTAGGCTGATCTGAATGGAATGGCCTCAGCTTGCATTGCTATTTAGCCATTACTCTGCAGTCCTGTTACAGTACTCCCCACAGGACTTGCAAGACCAAATTCTGTGCTGATTTATTCCATCTGGGGGACATCATCAGCAGGAAACTTTTCATGTCACAGAGGAATCCCCAACCCAAAGGTGTCTTGGAAAACTTTATGCCTATGTCCACAAGTGCAGCCAGACCCAGCTTCATTCCTACAACTGCAAACATAACTTCAGCTTTTTGGCAAAGCCTGACCTCCTCCTGCCGGAGCCCTTACTCCAACCTTGTGAGGGCACACTGAAAGGGGCTGCTGTGCAACTTGGCTGCTGTGTAACCGTTCTCCAGATGGCACTTGTCCATTAAAGCATGCTTTGATGACTGGATCCATGCATTTTGTACAGACATTTATTCTCTTAGCAGCCAACATTTCTTCTTGTATCTTGCTCCTGATCAGGCACAGCGTCTTTCCTCTTGCACCCACTGGGAAAAGCTGTGCCCAGCTGCAACATTTTTGTCAGGTTGCCAAGCTGCTGCCAGCCAGTACCCATGAACATGCAGGCATACTGGGAGAGAAACGCCATGCAGGAGTGGTTTAAGGTCCAGAGGATTTGGTGTGCAGTGCAGAGGCTGCTTCCTCTGCACACCTGCTTCTTTCTTCTCAGCTTTGCTTGTTCAGAGCAGCTTTAATTATTCCAGAATATTGCAGGCACTCCTTGGGGATAGGATGCACAGGACATGTGTAGGCAGTCACAGAATTACAGAATGGTTTGGATTGGAAGGGCCCTCAAAGCCCACCCATCCCCACCCTGCGCTGTGGGCAGGGCTGCCCCGGGGGAGGAGGGGAGGGGGGAAGAGCGTCGTGGTCAGAAA